AAGAAAAACCGGCACGTGCCTAAACAATGCTTAATTACTCGTTTATTTGTGATTATTTTGCTATAAAATTTTTAATTTATGCATCAAATATCAATCCCTAACTTAATATGTAAAAATAATAAAATAATACATGTAACAGCACCCCTTCTAGTCTTTAGTCGCATAGTATACGTCTTTAGTGCACTAAGGACTCCTTAGCAGTGTTTAGACGTACCGGGACCCCCCCCCCCCCCCACCTGGATCCACCAGAGACATATTGCCAGTATTATTCTAAGTTTCTTTAAAAACAATGACCATCATATATACACATGAATATCTTGTTTATGAAGGGAAATGATTTATGTTATACTTTGAAACACTCTCATATCAACAAAAAGTTCTCTGAAACTGTCATCATTAAGATTTCTTTATATCCAACCCGTTTTTTTGTTTTGTTTTGTGAAACTGCTTTCATTTTACAGTCGGCATTCCTATACGAACCAACTGTGCTCTTCTTGTCGACCTAATACATATTTTCACAGACGTCATTAAAATTTGTATTGCCCCTTAAAAGAACACTTGTATCCTGTTGATGACCTTATGTTGACCCTTGGTGTCTTTTTTGATTCGGTTAATTGTGCTGTATGGTTGCGGTATATATTTGGCATATACTCCATTTCTTTTTTTTCCATATCATAAGAAGAGGGACATTAAAAAGCATCTCCTAATAGGGAAACTGTGAGACGAACCCTTTTTTCTTCCAGAGTAGCAATGTATTTGAATCTATATTTAGATGCTTTTTTCCATATTTGATATTCGTCCATTATATAGAATCAAAAGATGCATGATATGATTCCCAATCAGATAACTTGCCACCCGATACAAACGACGTAGAAGTTAGAAACTATAGATCGCCGTACGGTCTTTTATTTACAATGAGCATAACCCATACCACATATATATAGTAAACATTAAAAGGCCTCGACATGATAAATGGAAAACAATTTATGTTTTGGCTTATTGTGTTAATGGGTTGCTGTCTATTTGACCTATAGTTATGCATCGTATCTTTTATTCATATTAACAGGAGTGGGACATGAAAACGCACGTCATAATAGGAAAACTGTGAGACGAATCCTTTTTTTGTCCCAGATTAGCAATGTATTTGAATCAATATCTATATTCATTTTCCATTTCTGATATTCATCCATAAAGATGTTAAGGGAATTGTTCTATCAGTTGGTTCCATGCAGTTGCAGTTCTCTGTGATATATACAATGATAGATCTAATGAATAATGAGACACAAATACAACTTTATATTTTTCTTAGGGGAATGAGAAATGATCAGATTAGTTCTTTTGATTTTCTTTATTGATCAAGATTAAGTCACGTGGTTGATGCTAATCAAGTATACAGATTCTGATATCAGTGAACGTTTTGACGTAATATACAGTAAAACAAATATTAATACGTCTAGACGTATTAACGAAATATAAGACAGGAGGTAATTTGTAAGCTCAGACAGCAACGTACGAAATGTAAATGGTTGTATATAAAGGCCATTTAAGAAGCTGTCCAGAGAATATTCATCAATTTATGAAGGATCTATTAAAAGGAACATGTCGTAACTGCGATAGCCCTTCTGACAAATGTATAATATCCAATGGGACTATTCAATTTCATAAAATATCTAACTTGTTTGTATTCTTGTTAGACGGTTTGAGTTGGTCATGTTTATGCTTAACAATTATTATAATACATTTTGGTGTGAAATATGTGATATTTACCAACCTTATAGACTGATTTGTATCTTCGAAATCAAGCCTCGAAATTGGGGGACCATCATTGGTGTTTTGTCAAAATTCAAATCAGTCCTTACTCCCATTATGGAATTTAATTATAACTCAACAAATCGGATAAGCAACCAAGGACAAAAATGGGTTTTCATCATACATTCACACCAACCCCATAATGCCGCATTGAAAAGACGCGATTAATATTACACGTACGCGCGTATACGTCGTTTTCCATGTCATCAGTGGTAGCGCCAATCGACGCATATCATACCTTAACCTTGTCTCTCAGTCCGATATTGGTGTCTCGAGATAATACCGTGGAAAATATTGATATCTTTGATAATAAAATTTTCTACATTTTCAAAGAAAGTTAATATAGCTATGCACTATTTTATATGTGTAATTAGTTTTATTCAATGCTATATGATATCTAACCAATAATTATGTATCTCTCAATAATTTGATTTGTCCATTGACTTTTTTTGATATTTTGAGATCGCAATTTCCCGTTTAAATTCTATGCATGGGTTCTGATATTACACTAAATACATGGAATAGCTGTATAAAACTGTTTTATCTCGAAGTCTACTTCAAAAATGACTTTGTTAATACAACATTTTTTTGTCAAACAGAATTCCCTTTCCTGTATGTTATTATAGTTTGTTTTTGATTGCAGCCCGGAAAATACTAACCCCCACCCCCTCCCCCTCAAAAGAAAAACACAAATGGTCGGTGACCTTTGTAAATATGTTAAGTAAATGTTTGTGGTGATCGCCTTTCAGGGGCGGATCCAGGATATTAGGTGAAAGGGGCGCAAACTTAAATTTTTTTAGGTAAAATTATCGAAATATTCTTTATAAAGCGGAGGACAACTCATGCTTTGCAAATTTTAGGGGGGGGGGGGGGGGGGGGGGCACGCCGGCCACGCCCCCGCCTGAATCCGCCCCTGCCTTTGATGACATATATATTTATCAGTATGTTGTTCTTATGGTTGATACACGAAAAAAAGTCATGTATTTTGTACATAAAAGGAATATTCTAATTGTATTATGTCGTTAAGTTTTCAGACGGCATACTTCGTCATAAGTACAGACAGTACCTGGATCTCAAAATATATTAATTTTACAGCAATAGGGAAATCCATTAAGTTGATTGGTTTCCAATTTCATTACTTTTCTAAAACTATAGCATACGGACTCAATTTCAATTAAGCTTTTATTTTTATATCAAGGCGGTTAGTAATGACATTCGAAAACAACTTTTGCCGACTAATGCTTACGACTTTGTTCAGACTCATTCCTCAGCTCAACGTGCAAAATTTAATTTGTATCGAATTTATTCTGTTAAAATAAAACAATAAACTAACCAGACAGTAATCAATACAAATTTGTGGTAAATTTTATCATGTGATCAATAGAGAGACCTCGGTTGTCTCGTAGGTGTAATTTTTAATTTCGATTGTCTACAGGGCATTTGATGACATACAGCTAGTCCACTCAAAGTTACATTTTTCAATTGAAGAATCTATATATCTACTCTTCTTACATACAGTAGCAGTGTGCTATGTCGTCTTTGGAGAATAGTGACATATTGCCTAGCCACATGTGCAATACAATTAATCCTTTCGGTCCGCAATCTATATCCTTTCCTCCGATCGAATAGCTGCCGAATTTTTGTAATGCTAAACTTGATTGTCGAAAATATGTAAATTTCTGTTGCTTCTCGAAACTATGCATTTTAGCACTGGCAAATATGAAAACAAAGGAATGTGCTTAAAACACTAAACAATGATTGTGCATGCTTTTTTTCTGCGTTAACATACTAATTCTAAGAAAAATTTCAGTAAAGATTTTTTTTTACGATTAGAATTTTTATTTAAACCATGAACGTATATTTGATGCACGGTATTCGTGAGTCATATGAATATATTCTTGAAACATTGGCAAAAAGACTTTAAGCAAATATCAATGAAATCAAGAAAATTGCACTGCTTAGAACATTACAATACGTTGCAGTCAAACTTTATAGGTTCCCTGTCATCAGTTCTAATGAATTAATGTTTGATTTAGAAACCGTACGCAGTTAGTACCAGTTGATGGGTGTTGACGTGTTTAAGAAATATATTTAGCTTAAGGTCTTGGTCAAGGTTTGAATAATCACAATTATTTTGTCTTGTATTACTCCATGATGTATATAGCTTTGTTAATTAGTTAACAACTGAGGAATAAATGGTGTTGAGCAAAATCCATTATTAAACGGAAAACATTTCACCAGAATACAGTATTTACACTAGACCGTGTGTTGTTCGCAGGCGCGGACCCAGTATTGGATTGTAGGCCTACGGGGAGGGATCGGGGGCTCCTGAGGTAAGGGGTTACTAGATAGATAGAAGATTTGGTATGAGTGCCAATGAGACAACTCTCCATCCAAGTCACAATTTGTTAAAGTAAACCATTATATATATATAGGTCAAAACGATATTTTGACAAATAATTGACTAATTTTACGAAAATGTCTTTATGAGGGGCACCCCGTCTGTATCCCCGACTGGTTCGTTGTTGTTGTTTGTCTTTGTATGAAGAGGAAAACAAGACAAACTAATACTTCTTAACAGCCCCGAGTGGGAGATGCTTATCGTGGCCATAGAAATGCTGCGTCAAGAAATATCAGACATTTTTTGACTGAAAAAATCATTTATCGCAGTGGTACGAATCTACGAAAAAAGTATATTTCACTGGTTTCTTTCTTAAAGATCAGTATCTAGTGCTTAAACGTTTTTAAACGACTTTAAAAAATAAACTGAAAAGTGTACGTGTGTTGGGGTTTGGTTTAGGTAGAAGAGACATTTTACCCCATTCTTTACCCTACCCCCCCCCCCCCCCCCCCCCCAATTCTCAATCATCGAATATGCTTCTTATGTATCCCTTTTCTCGCTTGCATCCACTGAATTAAAACGGTCCCCATTTTTCTTTTTTACTGAAACTGTTACGATATTCCATAAATCCATTATTCCATCATTTAATCTTACTATGATCAACATAAATGTACTTAATATCTCCCACATTCAAATCAATCATTCGGGAGATGTTCATTCAATAATTTTATGAGTAGTTCCGTGTGAGGATCAATAAAATGACATTATTGGAAACTTTGGCAATATTTCCCCCCATTCAGCAGCTGATTTTGTACATCATCAACCGGTTCAGTTATTTTTAGCAGAAAATAAGCTCAAGTGTTTACTTAATTTAACTTGCAGAATTCTTTAGAGGAATAGATGCGGCGTGTAGTTTTTTTAGGATATTAAAACAATGTATATATAAATGTAAGTATCCTTTGCTTTTCTACCTCAGTTTATTTAAGACATTTGTATAAAAGAGTTGATTGTTGTAAATATCGCTTTATTACGTACAAAAGGTATTGAAATCTCAAAATATGATGTATCATTAAACCAATACACAATTTCTTATCTTGATGGAGCCATCAAATATTTCATGGCGATTGAATTCTAAATACCATTCAACAGCAATATAAGAAATTTCTGGTTGCTGTATTCACACATTACGTTCTTATCTTGCAAAATCACAGTATCATGTGTATTGTATAAAGATATATTTCGAACATGCCGACAATTAATAAATATTCCATCCAATCCATATGACTCCGATCCCTTTAACCAATTTTAAATTAATCAAAATGCATGTCTGAATTCAAGTAAAATTGATTAATATAGAAGTTAAAAGAAAAATGTTGTAGACATGAATGATTATTATACTCTTGTGTATTTCTTTGGGATATTTGAAATTTATTCAGAGGTTGAAATGTATGAACAAATCATCATTCTCCCTTCGATACGAACCATGATATTTTACATTTCCTGATGGTATTACCTAAGGTATCCATAAACTATATTATCTTACTCTAAATTGTTTCTTCTAGGTTAAGTCTGCCAATTTTTTAAATCAAAATTTTTAACCATTCGTATACACTCACAACAATATCCATGTCGAAGGCCTCTATATTTGACTCTGCAACGAAAGTCATCAATAAAAGTGCGCAGTTTCTTTGCTTTGGGGTATAATTGTAGAGTGGGTGTAATTTTGTGCCATGAATCATTAAAAACACATCCCTTCTTTTCCATTTATAGTATAACTGAGGTTGAATGATCTTTACTATCTATTGTTTCAAAAGGTCATTGAGCTTACATGCATTAACTTCACCTGAAAGACCATGAAAACGTGGCTGCGTATATTTGTTGCTTATTAGGACACATGTCCTGGTACCATAAAGAAACCCATTTCTACTTCGGGTATCTTTCGTTTAAATAAAATCTCCTTTTAGGTATTTGTTGATAAGCTCAATTTACATTCTACTATTTAAAGATTGATTTTTTTATAGTTGGTACTTGATTTCAGAGATGGAAGGTTAGATTTAAGGTTGGGGTGGGAGTATGTCACGGAGATTACTAATACACGTTTTTGCCAATTACCAATGAGTCGGAACCGTTTCTATTAGACTTTCCCAGGTTATGGGGAGGGTTTGGCGCCAACAAACTAGTTTAACCCTGCCACATTCTTTATGTGCCTGTCCTAAGGCAGGAGCCTGTAATTCAGTGGTTGTCGTTTGTTGCTGTTTATAATATTTGTTTTTCGTTCATTGTTCTGTATATAAATCAGGCCGTTACTTTTCTCGTTTGAATTGTGGTACATTTATCATTTCGGGGCCTTTTATAGCTGACTATGCGGTATGGGTTTTGCTCATTGTTGAAGGGCGTACGGTGACCTATAGTTGTAAACTTCTGGGTCATTTGGTCTCTGATGGAGAGTTGTTTCATTGGCAATCATACCACATCTTCTTAGTTTTATACACTACTAGTCTTCGAGGGTATAATCAACCAAGTAACTAGAGTTCGATCCGGTACTGACATAATTTTTAACGATATATATCATAAATTTTGTTATTATACTTGGGTACTAAGTTTTCTTTTCTCAATGGCAAAGTTAATCTTGTACGGGATTGGATGTCAATGTCCGTTTCCTTTTTTTTTGTTTGTGTCCCCTCAAGTATTTCATATTTTATCCTCCCAAACATTTAGTCTCGATCGTATCTGATGAAGGTTATCGAAAGAGCACGTTTCGTAAGCATGGGAATCGATACCGTGTGGCCTTCTTTCTTGTATTTCGTAAATATAAACAATTAAAAACCAGGGGTACCAGTCGAAAGGAAATCCTCGATATGCAATTCCTTCAGTCAATGCAAAGTATACATATCCCAACAAATGCCAATTCTATTCATATTTAATTCATATATATTATGCATATACAATTTTTTTCATATATGTTTTACCAGGAACATATATGTTAGATATACTGTTCCCAGGTTTTACATTGTATATATTTTGTGTATACCGGGTATAAGACATCTAGAGGGCAACATAACTACAATGTAGATATAGAAATGTTTTATGCAATCACGTGTATGCAATACGTCAAGCTCTCAATCATCCCGAGTAGAAAAAAATATGACAAAATTAAGCAAAATCTATCAAGATCTGACATCAACTCCAGATTCTCCAAATAACATTAAAAACAACAAACAAAAAAAAAAAACAACAAAAACAAAAATAACAAAACAACAAAAACAAAACATTAATATATGACATAAGAAAACTGCACTGATGAGGTTCCTGACTTCGGACCTTTTTAGATCTCGACCCTTTATTCTTGATCAATTAACTAGCAAAAGGTGCATACAAAAACACACAATAAAAATCCGTACAGGAAAAGCATTTAATTTTAATGAACAGTACAACAGATAACAAACACAAGTACACAAACAAAAAGTAACCTATAGAATACCGTATAAAAATGCCTGCAGCAACTGAAAGCATGCTCAAAGTACTTAGCTTGTTGATTGATTGTTAATTCCTTAAGGTCCAGTTGCAAATATTTCATGCATGTTCAGGACGACTTAGCCTGTTGATATAAACTCAATGTTCGTTAGAAAAACTGTATCAAATGTTTTTTTTCACTATTGACGTTCTGAGCACATGTTTACTTTGGGCATTGCACACGATCGTATTTTATTATGTACTGTTCGTGACATTTGTTTTATGATATATATTAGAAAAATACAACGGTCGGTGTTAGCGTTTAAGAGGACTTTTTTGTATATAAGTACATTTATTACTTTGATCTTGCTTCCTGTTCTTTAAATATTATACAATTATTGCCTTCATCAAAAAGTTTTTAATATCCCAAATCATTAAATCGTGGAAAGGTTATTTTCCCGGAGGGAAATAACCTTTTCAAATTTTAATATTTTTTAGATGTAACTTTTTACGAAGGAATTTATTTGTATTATTATACTGAACTAGAATAGATAGTTATTTTTCAAAATGAAAAAAACACGCAAAATTTAAATGTGTTAATTTTACTATACGTGCAAAGCCGCGCCAAATCTGGATGTTGTTCTGTGTATATTCGATTTTAGGTTTAGTGTCTCATTAACGTATTACATACCCAACTGTCCTCTACCTGTTTAGAAACAGGAATCTAAAGTTCTTACTTGGTTTTGTTCGTCGTATGTTTACCTTCATTGCTATTTTTTACTTATAAACAGGTGTAGGTCTTGTTTGTATAATGTTTCGCACGATTCAAGTTTACGTGAACTTTTTCCCATCACTTGGCGTCCGTCGTCTGCCGTCGTCGTCATCGTCCGTCGTCTGTTAACTTTTACAAAGATCATCTCCTCTGAAACTATTGAGCAAAATTTAACCAAACTTGGCCACAATCATCATTGGGGTATCTAGTTTAAAATATGAAATGTTTCTGATGACCCCTGCTGCCAACCAAGATGGCCGACATAGCTAAAAATAGAATATAGGGGCAGCATGTAAGTTTTGTCTATTATTTTGAAAACAGCTATAGATAGAAAAAATCTGACAGGTAGAATTGTTCAGAATATTGTATATTTACGTCAAAACTGTCAGACGACTTTTTATAGGAGTTATTGCCCTAAAATGACAAATGTTTACTACTTTTTTTTTCCATTTTTGCCTATTATCTTGAAAACTATAATAAATAGAGAGAAACTTTAAACAGCAAAACTTATCAATAAGACAAGATCTTCAAATAAATCAAATGGTTGAAATCGTCTGATGACCCCTTATTGGAGTTATTGCCCTTTAATGACGATATTTACTTTTTTTTTGCGTTTTTGCCTAATATCTCAAAAGAATATTAGATAGATAGAAACTTGAATTAGCAAAAATGATCAGCAAGACAAGATCTAAAAATAAGTCAACATGGTTTAAATCATCGGATGACCCCTTATTATAGTTGTTCTATTTGATAACGATTCTTATCATTTTTTTGCGTTGTTGACTAATCTCTGAAAAACTATATTATAAAGATAGATAGAAACTAAAATAGATCTAAGCAAAAATGATTAGCAAGAGTAGATCAGCAAAGAAGAGATTTTTGTCATGAATTCTATTCTAGTCTTCAAAGATGGAGATTGTCCATTGTTGAAGATGCACATAGACCTAGGTGAGTCCTTGTTAGAGTTATTTCCCTTTAACGACGATTTTTATCATTTTTTTGCCATTTTGCCTCAAATCTTAAACATTACAATAGATGGATAGAAACTTTAAACAGCAAATGTGATCAGCAAGACAAGATTTACAAATAAGTCTATGGTCGAATTCTTCAGTCGACTGGTTATTGAAGTTATTGTTCTTTAATGACGATTCTTACCAATTTTTCGCGTTTTTTACCTATTATCTTGAAAACTATATAAGATAGATAGAAACTTTAAATAATAAAAAAAAAAAAAATCAGCATTCTGCCTGAAAAGTTAGTAGATAGGAGTGATTGCCCTTAAATGACAATTTTTGTTTACCCTCTTTTGTGTTTTGTGCAAAAACCAAATAAGTTAGAGAGAAACTGTAAACAGTAGTCTACAATGATGAAGATGCACATATGCCTAGGTGAGCGACACGGGCTCTTTATAGCCTCTAGTTTCTATACATAACGTTTTAACAGTTTGAAAAATAAATGGCCTCCATGTCGGCTAGAAAAGAGCAAAACGCGAAAAATGTATCCGCGAAAATGACTGGTTTGACTAGTATTCCAAATGAGACAATCGCCTACCAAAGACTATTGGATGAAGGGGGGAAGTGCCCTTTACTATATTGGTTTATATTTCATCTGCATAAGAAAGCCGTTTCCTTCAAGTCTGGCATTATTTGATAATATATTATACCATATATCATATTCATAAGCTTCCTGTTCGATCAGATCAAAAGATCAGACAATGTTTTAGACTATGCCAGTTGTAAATGCTTTTATCATTAATCTCAATATTTTTGATAATACAATTTAATTCCTTTGCACATCTTATGTCATTATTAATTTAAAATCAGAAATTTATTACCTTCAGACCTTGCAAAAAATTTCTAAATCATTTCATTTTTCTAAATTATCTCACTATCTTTTTAACTGATAGAGCACGTGTTGGCATTTCTATAATGATTCGTTACAAACGATATGGAATTGAATCAGTGAGTCTCGTGCCAAAACCAGCACGAGAAGGCAATGAGATGTACACGATGATTTCAAAATAAACCTCTATCCTTAAAGCAGTAATCGCAAATGCAAATCCATTGTTCTCAATAACTTTAATGTTTAGTGGTTATTAATTTTTCAAAGATAAACGCAAATTCGCTTAAGCTTATAACAGATGGTTTGAAGTTATACAGTGTATATAATGACGTAATATTTCAGTTTTTGAAGGAAACACCAGACAACTTGAAAGATTTTCTGTTTGTCTCATTTATAACAGATTTTCCTAATGGAAAACTTTTTTTCCTTATTGGTCATATAGCTCTTCACGCTTCCAAGAAGAAAATACATCATTGGCTTTCGATATTTTTGGGTTTAAGCATTTCTAATGAAGGTAAATCCAGAGAAGCGCTTTGGATACACCTTTATAAAGTGTTATTGTCATCATCTGGCCTAGGTTAGGGAGGGTTGAGCGCTCACAAACATGTTTAACCAAGCCACATTCTTTATGTGCCTGTCCCCAGCTGAGCCTGTTATCCAGTGGTTGTCGTTAGGAGATGTCTGCCGTGAATAATGGCTTTAACTTTTATTGTTTTAACGTAAATCAGGCCCTTGTTCTGGTACCCTTTATTGCTTTACTATACGTACGATAATAGTTTTGCTCATTGTTGAAACCCGCACGGTGACCTGTATTGTAGTTGTTCACATCCCTGCCTTTTGCTCTTTGGTGGACAGCTGTCTCATTAGAATCCAAACCATATAGCTCCTTATTTTGTATAACTTCTTTATAACGGGTACGGAAACATGGTTGTAACTCGTACTGCCTTTTTTTTTTTGGCTTTCAAATATGCGCGTTCCTGATGAAGGTAAGTCTAGAAAAGCGCATCCGACGCATGGAATTTATAAATTGTTGTTTTCTTTTTTTATGGTACATATGTACTTTTCGTTGACTTAGAAAAATATACATCTATAATTATCTGGTGATCTATTAGTTTTTTGTCTAAAGTTGGAATATAACGATATTTATTCAATCTAACGATGCAATATAATTATCCATAATTGAATACATAAACACATATTTTGATTCCGCTTTCATTGGAAATCCAGGCATCAACTGTTTGATCCTAAACCGAGAGTAATAAATCATAGAAATTAAGTATTAATAATGGAATAGCTTGTTGTCAGTCATCAATTGGGAGTTTCATAAACATGCAAACCACATAGAAAATAAACTAAGTATTAATAGTTTTAGATGGAAGATATATACTAGAACTGTACATGGCATTTCACTAATTAACCAGAACTTAAGCAATTCATTGGGTTAACAATTACACAATTCATACACGCATCTTAATTGACAAAACAGAAGTTTCAACCTCAGTTCGTCAGATACACCATCATTATTTCAAGATGAGACGCAGATTTTTCAAGGTAACACATTTTTATGCATTTTATCTATTTTATATGTATTTAATATAGGTTTGTAGAGTAGTAAAATGCCCTTATAATTCTTTATCTATTTATATGACGAGTGGGAAAATCGATTTTACAATAAGTTCTAATGCAAGAAATAAGTACATTAGAACTCTTATACAAGTTAATGCAGACGTTGATACATAATCTTTTGGAATTAAAAGATTCAATCTTGCTTTGAAAGAAAATATCTATTTCTTTCGAAAATTTATGAAAGCAATTTTAGCTATTTGAAGTTTATTATCAACAGAATATGCCTATTTTGTAATAAAGTAATGAGAAAAACCACAACCAACATTGAAAAGCAGGAAAAGGAGATATTCAAGCTTACAATATTTGAAAAAAAATTATGTTAAAGTAAACGATAATTTAATTGTTATCTTCAGCTATTACATGTCTCAGAACACTAGTTTCTTTGTCAGTTTTTTTTATCTATAATTTAGTTTATGAAATATTAATTGATTCAGTTTCATTATCATCCCTCTCCTGCCGAATTGATGGGACTAATTATACTTTAATTGGTGTCTTTTGTATGGCTTTATCGTATTACAATAACTTTTGTACTTGGTCCAGTGCTCAAATGAAAATGTTATAGTCCTACTTCAAACACTTCTTTCAAGGTTAAGATCTACATTCGATACGCTAAATTCTGGGTAATTGTGATATGTTCCTTCGCATGGATGCTTATATCCTGAAGTTGATCAAAGATGTCAAAGAAAAAGAAAATAATTATGTGGTGAATATTATCAGTATTTCCTGAAACAAAATAGTAACTTATCAAGAATACGTTTTCTTCAATATATTCTTATTCTTAACCACAATATAACATCACATACTATATATATAATAATTACTTTCCTTTCTTATCAATTTCGTCGGGAGGTAAACATGAAATCAGCTATCTTGACGAAAAAAAATTAGTTTCCCTGTGAAAACTATCTTGATGAAAAAAAAAGTTTATCCTGTAGTGTATTGAAATGCATCGTTATGCTCACAAATCGACAATCACATATCTACATTTATCTTTTGTCGATTTATTGCTCTCATAATCTTTCTAGATTATTAATTAAAATATCAATCTGACTTGTTTTTTTTTTTCTGATTACAGATGGACTCTGAGGAGACAATAACAGTAGCCAGCTACAAATCTATACATTTTGGAGTAGATATTATAGAGGGCGCCCTAAATCATTTACAATTTCTTAAAAACATCAACAAACACAGAAACTTATTTCACGTCCCGCTTTTACGTCGGGCTTTGCGTCGATATGAACAGCTTTGGTTAGATCTGGCCGCGGAACACAACGAAAAGGTTTTAACAGCCCCTTTAGATATAGAATGGATTTGGCATTGTCACATGCTATCACCGATATGCTACGAAAAGGACTGTAAAAATCTTGTGGGTAAAACAGTTAATCATGTGATTGTAAAGGACAAAGAGAGACAAAAACATCTTGAAATTACAAAAAAGCTTTGGGAAGCAAAATACCCAGATACTCCATTTGAGATAAATATCGATCAAAATGAGGACGAATCTCCTGAGGAGGAGAGGGACAGTGTTGATATGTGGGAAAGTAAGTTGACATATGATGTTGTCTCCGCAGCTATACGACAGTCAGCGTTTAATTATCAAGTTAGCCTCCCGCATTATTATGACAAATACTTTTTAAGGCAAGCTGTAAAGAGGTACAAGAAATTATTGTTCTTGAAGGTTCAACATCAAGGACTATTTTTTGTTCCTTGTTACGATAATGATTTAATCTGGCACACACATCAACTTCATCCTTTAGTTTACAAAAAAGACACAGAACGGATTTTAGGCAAAATGTTCAATCATGATGACTCAGTCAACGATAGAAGTTCTGGATCTAGATTACTGAGAGCTGAGTCTAAAACGAAGCAATTTTGGCAAGAAGCATACAATGAAAGTTTCTCCCGAAACGGAGCGATGTACAGAGGAGACCCTCCAATGGGACAGCTGCATAGATTGTCTTCAAGTGATGTAATGTCGTTTTCTACAAAGAGAGCAAACATTAAACTAGATAACATTCAAATTGAGAACTTACCTGAAATCATTAAAAGTTACAAGTTAAAAGTTCAATATGTTTCCAATGACAAAGAAGGCCCAGTAATACTGAATTTTAAAGGTCTACCTAGTCACTGGGACAAGAAAAAGGGAATTGAGTTTGAATTTGACACAAAAGACTATAACTATTTGAAATTCAAACTTATTCATCAACCAAAACGCATGTGTTTTAGTGCTACCATTGAAACTGCCGAGGCCAAGTTTCACGTTCTTCCTTTAGCTGAATCAAATACCGGATGTGATACTGAATTATCAGAAACATTAGTTCTAAACGAAGAAAAGAACATAACATTGAATTTCAATGGGAATATTCACGTGTATGATAAGCCCGGACCGTGTTTCTTGTTTTTAAAGAATGGAAACTTTGATAGGAGGTATTGTATCATGCCTGAAAATATACGACAATTGTGGGGACCAATCCCGTTGCCAAGGCTCCCAGCAGGACAAGATAATAACTGTGTAGTTGCATCCCACAAGTAAGTTAGTTACAATGTATCTACTATTTTTACTCATGTACTTATGAGGGCTTGGATGGGGTGGTCTTCATTTCTGTATTCTTTAATATTTTGGGCCATTTTTCTCTATTCTTTTTTTTTTATTTTGGTATTTATTCTCAATACTTAATATTTTGCACATTTTTTTCTATATTTTTGGCATGTTTGTCTCTATTCTCTATTTTTATGGTCTATTTTGCTGTAGTTTGGACCCTTTATTCTCTATTCTGTAAATCCAATCTACACCCTCATTTATCATGTCGTATATTTAAAATTTAAAATAGTAGAACATTCATGACTGTTGTATCTATATTAATGAATATAAAATAATGAATTTATGAAGAAATGCGCATCTGGCGCAGTGAAAATGGCACTGTTAATTCTTTTGATGGACAATAATTACCCATAACAATTAATTATTAAAATCTAATGAGGTCATTGACAAGAAAACTAATTTAAAATTAAGAATAATTGCGTAACAAATAAACAGAAACATTGGACAATAAATAGGTACCCACATTCTTTACCTTTATTTATCTATCTTGGTCTATGAAGTATTTTTTGTTTAATTTAATGTAAAACTATGATTTTTTTCGATACTTTTTAAAATTTGAACAACTGACAAAATATCAGAAAACCTTAAAAAAAACCAAAACAAGAAAAGTAGGGATAAGTATCTATCACATCTATGATTATAGTATAAACAAATGTTCACTGATCCATATCAAAATATCACAAAAAAATATTTAAAACTCACCGCATAATCATGTGCTTGCTTAAATATTTTAACAGCACGTTTGGAACCAACGGCGAAATTTAGTTTTGAACAGAACGTATTTCAAATACTTTTAGGTACAATTACATTCCAGTTTCCGTGCTAGTATCCTAACCTCATCGGTGGTCTCGTGATAGGGTACTCGCCTTGAGTTCGGGAGATCGTGGGTTTGAACCCTGGCTGGGTTAAACAAAAGACTTGGAAATTGGTATTTGCTGCTTCTCCGCTAAGCACGCGTCGTTTAGGAGTAAGAGTCTGAATAATGTGTCTAGGTAAGGTAACATGTCTTCCAGCAGACTCCTAACTTGTGAACTAGCACGTTAAAGATCCGGGCTCAGCGTGTCGGTCTTGTACAAAGCAGGGTTTATATTCATATCATGTTATCATGTACTCGTCCTGAATATGCATTTAATTTGCCACTGCACTTTAAACAGCCACTCATTTATCCATCGATCTTTGAGCAATCTGCATAACATTTTGGAATTTTTGGTTCTAAAGGCTCTTCAAACTTTATTTTATTTTGCCTTCCAACTGATTTAACTCGAGCGCCATTGATGAGTATTATGTAGACGAAACGCGCGTCTAGCGTCACACATTTTAATTAAGCCTGCATGGTATCATCGCTTCGTCCCCGGTGGTATCACTAGCCTAGTAATCAGAATTTCTGTATTGACATGAAATATCAATGATCCAGTTAATTTCTGTAAATTTTTGGTTTGCAAAATTTTCAGTTATTTGGAACGTTAAGGTTTTTCTACCCCAGGCATAGATAGCCTTATCTGTATTTGGCACAATTTTTCAGATTTTATGCTTTCAACTTTGTATTTGATTTATTTTGACAAACTGATTTGATTCGAGCGCCACTGATGAGTCTTGTGTAGACGAAACGCGCGTTTGGCGTCACAAATTGTAAGCCTGGTATCTTAGATGAGTTTTTCATTCCCTTTTTTATATTTTTTTTTTTGGCAATTTTCGTATGTGTCACTTCTACTAGTAAAGTTTACTTAATATACTTCGATAAAAGTTAAATGAAGTTAATCTATGCTCCTTGAAATCAATTACTACCAAATTTTCTTTTTTACACAAAATTTATTGAAATATTATTAAAGTCACTAGGGGAGATAAAAAAAGGAGAGCCCAATCACGTAAACATGTACCAGTGTTTTGTATTTGCAGGTTTGTAAATCATATGGGAGAGATGACGTTTACCTGTCGAGTAATACACAGTATACCGTTACTGATGTCAGCGATACAAGTGTTCTACCATGACAAAATGGTAACAGTGGCACATTTGATCGGTCCAGAACAGTTACCGTGTTCTACTGAGGTAAGTTGTTAAAACTGGTAACGGTACTATATTTAATACACATGCAGAAGATCTGAACAGTTATCACATTATAGAATATTTAATGTTAAAAGATATTTGCATAGAGTAATGATCCAGGCCTAGATTTTGCAGCAGGGTGGTACTATTTCTACACTTGGAAGTGAAAGGCTATTGGGGTCGATGAAAATGACGCAAAGACAATTTCATGTGGTTCTATTTCTACATTTGGAAGTGAAAGGCTATTGGGTCGATGAAAATGACGCAAAGACAATTTCATGTGGTTCTAATTCTACATTTGGAAGTGAAAGGCTATTGGGGTCGATGAACATGACGCAAAGACAATTTCATGTGGTTCTAATTCTACATTTGGAAGTGAAAGGCTATTGGGGTCGTTGAACATGACGCAAAGACAATTTCATGTGGTTCTATTTCTACATTTAGTAGTGAAAGGCTATTGGGGTCGTTGAACATGACGCAAAGACAATTTCATGTGGTTCTATTTATACATTTGGAAGTGAAAGGCTATTGGGCTCGATGAACATGACGAAAAGACAATTTCAGGTGGTTCTATTTCTACATTTAGTAGTGAAAGGCTATTGGGGTCGATGAACATGACGCAAAGACAATTTCATGTGGTTCTATTTCTACATTTAGTAGTGCAAGGCTATTGGGGTCGATGAACATGACGCAAAGAAAATTTCATGCAATCCTAGAAAATAGGCTAAATATGAAACAAACAAATCTTATATTTGCAGTTTTCATCTTAACAGTCGGTAGGTCTTTAGCCCTGAGTCTTGCAGCACGTGAACAGGCATTATCAGCGACGTCACAATGTACGAGGAGAAGTTACTAGTATCAGCGATGTCACAATTTGTGAGGAAACGTAATCAAGCTTGCTTTCGTCAAGCGTAAAACTGTCTATGGGAGGGGAATCAAGTAATAGAATAATAAACAGATTTTCGTTTTTTTATGTGTTAATATCGTGAAGTATCAGCCGCTCAACACGACTTGAAACTTTTAAGCTCGTTCACTCGCCAAAAAGATTCACATTGTGGCTCGCGGCTGATATTTTACGATATCAGTAAGTAGAAAACCTGATAATCTATAGTTAATGAATCTAATGTTAAAATAAAACGACAATCGACAATTTACTATTGACGATGAAACAATTCACCTATAACTTTGCAAAAAAAAAAAAACTCTTGAAAAAAGGTTTTCCACGCTAAATATGCATGTGCCTTGCTGGCCCTAGTCAGGTTTCTCGTTAGTGGCTGTCTTTTGTAATATATCTCAATGTGTTAATTTTGGGGAGTTTATTGGATGGTAGATTTTTATATTATCTGTTTTGTAAAGATTGGCGATCTAGAGCTTGAGATATTGTATTGACATCTGTCTTTTGTTGAAGACCATATACTGACGTGTAGAAGCCTTTTGGTTTTTTGTACTGTTGGGATGCTGTCTCATTGACATATAAACACCATATCTCTTTAAGTCATCTTAATTAATAGTCTCTAGTACCTTTCAGCACTTTGAATCTGATATGTTAATCTTGGTTTGCTATCTCATTGACATATAAACCCCAGATCTCTTTAGGTCATCTTAATCAATACTCTCTAGTACCTTTCAGCACTTTGAATCTGATATGTTACTGTTGGGTTGCTGTCTCATTGAAATATAAACCTGAGATCGTTTTTAGTCATTTAAATTAATAGTCTCTAGTACATTTCAGCACTTTGAATTTGATATGTTACTGTTGGGTTACTGTCTCATTGACATATAAATCCCATATAGATTTGAGTAATCTTTATTCCTACTCTCTAGTACTTTTCAGCACTTTCAATCTGATATGTTACTGTTGGGTTGTTGTCTCATTGACATATAAACCCCAGATCGTTTTTAGTCATCTTAATTAATGGTTTCTAGTTCTTTTCAGCACTTTAAATCTGATATGTAACTGTTGTTAAGATTTGATTCGTTTCATAAACCTAAAAGTTAACGACTTTGTTTTGTTTATTGAGTATCTTAGTTAATGCTACTGAACCAGTTTGTGAAAAAGAGAACATTTTTGTCTGGAGGATATAGACTTGTTGGCTTCTCTCCCAATATGTATTATCTGACAGAAAAGTGAGAGTTTACATTAAGATTACAATACAATATACAGGATATATGTAAACAAATCATAAGGATATCACATGTATAAATTCAGAATAATAACATTTAAGTTAACAATTTTACTGCACCAGATGCGCATTTCGACAATCAATTCCTTTTAACCAATATTTGTATCGATTGTGGAATATACTGTAACTTTCATTTATCTTGTGAAGAAATCATGTGTTCAAGATATATGAGGGTCTGTGTGGAAAGGGGGGGGGGGGGGTCCTTCATTTCTGTATTCTTTAATGTTTTATGTAATTTTTCTCTATTCATTATATTTTTGCACATTATTCTCTATTCTTTATATTTTTGTCCTTTATTCTCTATTCCTTATAATTTAGCACCCCATTGTTCCCCATTCTCTCATTTTTTTGGCCCATGTTTATCTATTCTTTATTTTTTTGCCTATTATTTTGAAGTATTGGCCTATTATTCTCTATACTGTAAACCCCATTTAGACCTCATATATGGATCTATAGTTAAACAAATTTAATTATGACATTAACATAGGTCATGACTGACATAGAACATCTACTCCTCGACGTAGACGCAGTCATGGTCATCGTCATTATACATCACCTACTTTGCATGATGTCTCTATTAATGACTTGCTGCCATTTATACAAAAGCCATTAGGTATTCATCACATTCGCACGAAACTGTATTCATTACCCCTTTCAAAACTTCATTCTCTGTTCAATTTATGTTTGGAAACCACTGTTACAAACCCTCATTCAAACCAATACAAACTTACAGCTATCATTTCGGATATTGCAAGTCACAGACTTTTCAAACCTGGATAATCATAGGTCTGTTCTATATTCCTTTGGAATTTCAACCAAAGATGAAGAACTGGATCTTCCATCACTGTATTGGATACCTTAACTACATAAGTGTCCTTACAAACAACAGTATATTGCTGGGTCTTCCAAGTGCTCCACGAAACCTCTTTCGAAATTATTAACATCTATTTTATCAGAAATCAAAGCCGGGCTCCAAAGTTATTGTGAAACTGCATATTCTAGAGGTGGCGTGAATCAGATGTGGATACTAAAAAAATCCAAAGATCTTTTAGAGTACATACAATCTAAGACTCTCTCATCTTGCAATAGTATTAAAACATTTGACTTTTCTACACTTTACACAAGTATTCCTCATTCCAAACTAAAAGATAAATTGAAAGAGTTGGTATTACTTTGTTTCATTAAAAAGAATGGCGAACGTAGATACAAGTATCTTGTCTTGGGGAGGGATAAATCCTACTTTGTAAAGAATCACTCTGATTCAAACAAAAAATTCTCTGAAACTGACATTATCAAGATGCTTGATTTCTTGATTGACAACATATTTGTTACGTTTGGAGGACGTGTTTTTCAACAGACTGTCGGAATTCCAATGGGAACCAATTGTGCCCCTCTTCTTGCCGACTTGTTTCTTTATTATTATGAGGCTGACTTCATACAGGAACTTCTTAGGAAGAAAGATAAGAAGTTAGCAATATCCTTTAACTCTACGTTCCGCTATATAGATGATGTTCTCTCACTAAAAAATACAAAATTTGGTGACTATGTTGAACGAATCTATCCCATCGAACTAGAGATAAAGGATACTACAGATACAGATAAGTCTGCCTAATATCTTGACTTACATCTAGAAATTGACAATGAGGGTCGGTTGAAAACAAAACTTTACGACAAAAAAGATGATTTCAGCTTCCCAATTGTGAACTTTCCATTTCTATGTAGCAACACTCCAGCAGCGCCTGCATACGGAGTATATATCTCCCAATTAATACGATATTCCCGGGCTTGTGTTTCCTATTATCATTTCCTTGATAGAGGATTGCTGCTCACAAGGAAGCTATTAAACCAAGAGTTCCAAATGGTGAAGTTGAAATCATCCCTTCGTACATTTTACGGACGCCATCACGAGGTGGTTGACCGTTATTGAATAACCGTTTCACAGATGATATCGGATATGTTCCTTATGTCGTAACTACAATACCCTTCCCTTTTCACGAATGTGACTTACCGAATTAGACTATTTACCGGATTTGTAATAACATAAGCAACACGACGGGTGCCACATGTGGAGCAGGATCTGCTAACCCTTCCGGAGCACCTGAGATCACCCCAGTTTTTGGTGGGGTTCGAGTTGCTTAGTCTTTAGTTTTCTATGTTATGTCATCTGTACTATTATTTGTCTGTTTGTCTTTTTATTTTTGGCCATGGCGTTGTCAGTTTGTTTTCGATCTATGAGTTTGACTGTCCCTATGGTATCTCTCGTCCCTCTTCTACACATGTAGTTGATAGACTATAATATATAACTAAGATCTGTAAAAAATGAAAATGTATTTTGAATTACCAATGTATTAAGAAATTTCACATTTTCACATGTCTTTTAATCAGCATATATTTACTTAATATATTGTTTTTCAATTTCATAGGTTTCAGACCCTAAATCTTGTCCATCACTGAACTCTAAACAGGGACAACGTGCTTTGTTGATAAAAACAGAAGAGGGTGACTGGGGAATTCTGATTGGACAGTGGACTGGGTTCCGGAGAGGAAAGCCGGGAACCAGAGGTAATGCTGAAAGTTAGTTTGTACTGTTTTAAAACTATTGAAACTGAGAAAAATCTTTGTTTATGCAAAAGGTTGTGAAAAAAAATCCAAGCTACTTATACTAGCCATATTAACTGTTATATTGCAATGCTTAAAAATTTTGTCGTGACGAAAATTTAAATTTAGATAACTATTATCTGATAACTAAAAAGGCAGTTAAAATAATTTCATAGTTAACGTCACATAGAGTAAATTAAGAGAAATGTATCTGCATGAATGATCAAATGATGACAATAAAAGCAAAAAGGTAATAGGAAAATATTACTCTTATAACAATAGATTCTTCTTAAAAAAATCTAGTCACTCATCTCTTTTACAGCTCAAAAAGGACTTAAAGGAAGTCCAGGTACATTGACAATCCGATTCTTCCATATAAAGAGCGGACACTGGAACCATTTAGCATTACCTTACTTGGAAAATCTATTTAAGTTTAACCTTGGCGATTCAAATGTGGATCTTCAAAATGGCGTCATCACCATATCTTCTGAAAATGGAGAAGTCGCTGAGAATCTTACAATGGCGTTTGGTGTTGCACTGCTTCATGTTCTCTGTCAGCCAAGGAAGAAACTGAAAAAACTAGGAGAAAACACAACGCCAATGAGAGGAATGAAACTCATACGATCCATTCCCTCCAGCGATCTAGGGCTAGTAGTCGCTGCAGGATATTCTGTAGATGCACCAACCAATCAGTTCATCAGGAAACTTCAACTGAGGAACAGAAATGGTCCGTGTTCATCAAAGGACGATACTGAAATGGTTGGATACGGAATGGGTGTCGATTTTGGAGATGCTATAGCAGAGGAGCTTGGAACAGAACCAATGACTGAGGCACAAAACACGTTAGAAGCACCTGGTGAAGCGTCTGCTGGTGACATCGGTGATACTGGTGCTGAGGTTGCCGCCGAGGCGGGAGGCGAGGCAGGTGCTTGTGGAGGTTGTGGTGGGTGTGGTGGTTGTGGGGGATGTGGGGGTTGTGGTGGAGCGTGTGGTAGTTGTGGAGGATGCGGTGGTTGTGCCGGTTAATAGAAGAACGTATGTACGAAGTGTTTGCGCGTGCGTGTTGTAAGATGATACAGTTTCAGTCATTATATAATTCAACGTTGTAATGTATGCAAAGTATGTGATAGTGATACAACTGAAATCCCACTTGATTTTCTTTTCAAACAACTATGTGTAGCTGCATTTTGAATTTTTCGCACATATTGTTAATTGTATTAGAATCAAATATATATGCTGAAACCAGGTTAGCTTAGCCATCCTAACGCCACGAGGCTTGCCTATAGAGCTTAAATTCAGACAGGCAAACCCGTCTTATCGTAGTTTGTCTTAATTTGCATCGCACTCAGACAGGCAACCTGTATTTAGGCAATTAGTTCATATTCAAATATTTTAATTATTTCATTTAAATAACTTCTTTCAAAATGGTAAGCAAAAATAAAAAACATTGCAAAATTATCGCAAACGCCAAATAAATAAAGGAACCCAAATTTCAGTCTTGCTCAATATATGAATACTAAATAGAATAAATCAAATGTAAATGAAATATTATCAAGCAAATCAATTATCAGCCTGAAATAATTAAGTAAAGAAAAGGGAAATAATCCATTCCTATTACATATGTATAGATTGAAGTTGCATCCGCATTTTATTTTACATCTCTGCAAATATGTTCAGATTGAATATTGAATCATGTGATTGTAGTTGAATTGGCTGATGGTGGCAACTCGAATGAGAGGGTAAAATGTTCTGAGTTCCGTTCAATGTTCCTTTCAAAAATCTGTATAGATATCGCAAACCCTTTACAACTTCTGCTATATATTATGTGTAGCTGCATTTTTAATTTGGTCCATATATTGTTACTTATATTAGAATCAAATATATAAACAATGTATGTATAGAATGAAGTTGTATTCGCATATTTTTTTTCACACCTCTGCAAATGTGTTCAGATTGAATATTGAATCATGTAATTGTAGTTGAATTGACTGAAGGTGGCAAATCGAATGAGAGGGTATTGGTATGTTCGAGTACTGTTGATTTTTACAATTCTATCTTCTGATAGAACAAAATGGTAGGGATATTTCCCCCTGAATTTATTTCACACCATGGACATTTTCAAAAAGTTTTTTCAATCTTTGAAAAAAATTATATTATTATAGCATTCATGTGTGTACTTCTTATCAGAGTACCAAATTATCAACGCCTGATTAAGCCCAAAACTGCAATTTTGACAGACTTTTCCCAATTTTGAGTATTCATATCATGTCTGGCTATGTATGAGAAGGAAACCCTTCACCAAAACCAAAACTTTGTTTGGAAGTGTAGTCTTTTAAATACAAATTGATTCATTTTGCTTAGTGGCGCCCTTCGATGCAATATTTGACAAAACAAATGTAAAACTTGCACATTCATATCAAAATGCAGTTAACAGCAAAATGTAACGTCGTATAAAATTTTGGAAAAAATTAGAATTGTCGAATAACTTCTGAAATATACATGTATTATATAGACTCTTTAAAATTCAATTTCAGGTATGATTTGACAACTTTTAAATGGTGACCATGTGTGTGAAACAAAAACAGGAGAAATTGGCCAATATCTCTTTTTGTAATGAAAATTAAATTGATCTCGACAGTTTTTCCTCTTGAAAGTTGTTACAATATTGGAAATTCATCCATTTAATCAATTGAATGTATTATTCCTGTGTTGCGAAAAAGGAAATTAAATACAAGGAGTATTGTTATAATCCGATTTTCACAAATAGATATTTTAAATGCTTAAGCAATGTTGAATTTGTTCTATTCAATTTTAACTCTTATGCAATTTGAACGATTTTATATCCACATTTCATTTAACACATCATGCAATTTATATTTTGTGTATTTCATAGTCAAAGACATTAATGGATAAGAGAGATAAAAATGTACAATTTTCCTTACAATGGAGAAATGATTTTTCTTGAGGTTGCACTGTAGTGTTAGATCCTGGATATTTCAGGAAATTTATAATAAACGTTATCCATATGTGATAAATTCGTTTTTTTATTGCTTTCTTTTACGAAAGCTAAACCGTTTAGTTGTTTTCACAACAAAACTATTTTAGTCACAATTAATCATACATTAGATTGTACATTGTAACAAATAAAATGTAATAAAGTGTTTTTCAGATAAAATCTGTTTTAATCAAATGTTTTGGTGTTGATCGTGAAATTATATAAAAAATACATATTGATATACACGTAATACATGTAGCACGAACTAATTGTTTTCCATATACTCGTCTATATTCGGCCGATTCCGTTGTTATCTATTGGATAGAAGCGGATAACCCGAGGATTGCCGATTAGTTTCTCAGAGTGTCAATTTTATTCCGGAAACACGTGTTGTGCGCGTGGAAATGATATAGCTACAACCATGTCATTTTCCACCCCGAATTAGAGCTCGGTAACCAGTACCTCTGCATTGGCAAGAATTTTTAATGAAACATTTTGTATTTAAATTTCCAGTTTCTTAAATTTTGTAACTGTAGTTAAACTAGGGTTTCAAAACTTCAGGCAAAGTTGACATAAGACAGTTTTAGCTGTCCTGGTTTTATCTATTGTGTCTGTTTTGTTCACGCATCGTTGTCAATATAATGGAATTTGATGCGACTGTCATACAAGTGAGAGGTTTAGCTAGCTATAAAACCAGGTTCAATCCCCCATTTTCTACATAAGAAAATGCCTGTACCAAGTCAGGAAAATGACAATTGTTATCCATTTGTTTGATGAGTTTGAGCTTTTGATTTTGCCATTTGATTAGGGATTTTCCTTTTTGAATTTTCCTCGGAGTTCATTATTTTTGTGATTTTACTGTTTAGACCCTTTTTTGTTTGATGGTCTCTTTAGATTTCCAAGCATTTGACATGGACTTTGACCGTTTATGGTGAGTTTTATCAAACATATTTCTGGCGACGGATATCTTATACGTTTGTACGTAAACTTTTTTTTGTAGATTTTGGTAGAACTGTTACCTTCGTGTTTATATAAACACTACAGTAAATTTGTTCATATGTCCATCTAAGTGTTATATATAGATCGTGTTTGGTTTTACCCAGAATGATACATTAATATATCTATTGGTCTCAGATTTTACACAATGTTGGCAGTGGAGAAATGAAGTTGAATTTGTGTTGTTCCAGAGTTATGGGACTTTAATCTTCATTAAGGAGGAAGTCTTAGAGTTGTGCAATACAATAACTCTGCTTGATTTATAAGAAGCCAATTTATTAGCCTTCAGTTTGTTTGATATCTTGCTAGCTGTCTTCTGCTTGGTGATTTATGATATTGAAGTTGTTTGATAATAGGTTCACAGTCACATTAAGTCTTGTTTAAGTAATTTACTATTTTCTTTGTCAATTTACAGTAATGATTCCATCAGACTGCATAATCAGATGTGATGATTTTGAAATTCTCGATAGGCCTTGCATTATTTCTTACAATATTAAAGAAATGACAGGTTTGCATACACAACGAAATATCTTGAGATCATACACATGCAGTCCGGAAAAAAATATGTAGTGGATGTACAAAATTCAAAGATATCTATTTCCCGCACGAAGTATCGTATCTATGAAGGGCCATTCGGATCACAATTCAATTTTGAACACGTTCGCTAGAGCAACGTGTTGCTGTAGGTTCGTGTACTCTAAATCACGGCGTTCCCGATGGTTCGCGTACCCTAGAGTGATGCGTAACAGTTAGATTGTTAGAGCAACGCAATGCAACTATTGCACGTTTGAAATTGCCTACGTTGTACAATAGGAACACACGACATCCCAAATACATTTGTAAGGAACACGTCTGATCGAGGAAATTCAAGAAAATATGTTTTCACCAGTAGAATATGCCCTTACATAACAACAATTTTAAATGGAAGATTCAAACACGAGGCAATTTTTTAAAATGATATTCAACGAAATAACACTTTGTTAATTTGGTGCGTCCGAAACGCTTTTCTGGATTTACCTTTAGCAGAACGCTAACAAAATAAAAATTGTACGCTTAGGACGTATAAGTAATTCAATACACGAGAAGCAATACGACATAAAAGGAAATAAACGACCTCATCTAAGGTCAATTTTGCCTGAGGGATTTGGAATCTTTTTTCTAAATGATGTCGAAGAATTTAAGACACATATCAGAATCGAAACACTGGCAACTGAGCTGATCATGCACTTGGTGCATGGGTGACTAGCAGACCCAATGCTCACTCTTTATTAAACTATGAATTCCAATATAAAAATAAGGAGATGTGGTATGATTGCCAATGAGACAACTATCCACCAAAGTTCAAACGAAGTTGATGTAAGCAATTATATGCAACCATACGGCCTTCAACAATGAGAAAAACCCATACCGTATGGTCGGCTATAAAAGGACCGACATGGAAAATACGAAACAATATTAATTCAAATGAGAACACTAAAGGCATAATTTATAACAAACCAATTTACGAAAAACAAATATGACAGACATGAACCAACGACAACCACTCAACTACAGGCTCCTGACTTGGGACAGGCACATAAAGAATGTGGCGGGGTTAACAATGTTTGTAAGCGCTCAACCCTCCCCCTTACCTGGGACAGTGGTGTAACAGTACAACATAAGAACAACCTATAAAAATCAGTTTAAAAAGGCTTAACTTATCAGATGGATACAAATAGAAATACATCTACCAAAAACACAGAGTGGACGTGGGCGGGTACTTGTACAACGTCAGATGAAATATTATACTACATGTAAATCCAGGCACATACAAACAAATTAAAAAAGTAAAATAACTGGAACCATATGTAATCCTTTAATAGTGGGACTTAGTGTGATGACAGCTAAGGTATACATTTTCTGATATGATTGCAATTACATTCATGCGATTTTCAACGTTACATCTGAAAAAAAAACACTCTATTAATTTCATGCATCCAAAGTGCTTTTTTGGATTTATGTTTTACGCTCAAACCTAAACATTTGAAAGCCAGGGATATATAAATTTCTTTAATTCTTCGTCAATTTATCCCTTTCTGCACCCATTGCATAAAAAAAATTAATCAACGTGTGGTTCGTTTGATCTTAGCGTTCTTCATTGGTTAAAATCCGATTATGACGTCGAATTTACTTGCTTTCCTCTGAAATTCCTATTGTGGCGGCATGAAAAAAGGCGACCATGCCTGATGACGTCACATAGAAAGAACACATCTTTTTACAGATCATTCGAAAAGACAGAATAAGTTTGCCTGCATATTGTTTGAAAATTATTAGAGAAACAGATTCCACCACCAAATTTCGTGTAATACGATATTTATCCACTCTCGACAGTTAAATTTTAAATATTTAAAACGCTCGGCGAGACTCGAGTTTTAAATTTGAAAATTTAACTGTCTCGAGTGGATAAATATCGTATCACACTCGATGCAGTGGTAGAATCTAATACGTAGAAACGTTTGAAATTATATATTAAATAAACTGATCATCGATAAATGGGACCAATGAAGATTAGTAAAATTCATCTAAGGTAAACTTTGCCAAATAGGGAGTTTGGTAAGTGTCAAAACCAGGAATATGACACCTGGTAATAATGGTATATAAACAATAGATGTCAAATCTTCGACAAGAAATGTCCCATGTGAGTGGAAAAACTAAGACATAAGTGATAAACCAACTCGTGGCGGCGACGGTAGAACTAATTTAAAGGACATTATTTTGTGGATCTCGCTCATAGCCTTGCATCATGCTGGAGTAGCTTTTAAGGTAAAAGAACAACTCGGTTTGTGAAATCTTCAAGATGAGATCACGTGCATGTAACATACTGAATCTACGTCATGCATGGGCTACAAAAGATACTACTCTGAATGAAACAATTACAATAAAAAAAATGAGTTGAATTGTCCTTTAGCGTCAGTTTCAAAAAATTATTTGGATATGATGCAAGCATTTGTATATCCACAGAATCATTAAATTCAATGTCACTAGATGCGGGCGTGTACACTGAAAGAGTAATCTCGTGGAATATTGCTACACAGTAAATGATAAATCAAATGAAAAGCGTTTGTATTGCCTTTTTGTTTCTAATTTCACACAAGTTGGTATTCACTTTAAGTATTTAAGTATGTATGTACCAGAAAGACGAGACGAGGCGAAAATAGTAATACCTCTAGAAAGGTATTCAATAAGCAATTTAAAAAGAACTTTGACATGGTTATTAATCATTAATTTGACAACAATTCGGTGAGAGATAATAAAGAAAAGACCAAGAGCTAGACTAATCTTCTTTGAAAACAATTAAATAACTGTAACCAAACAAGCAAGTCAGACTTAGGCAAATACGTATTTTTAGATCAATTACATTTCATGCAATATGGTAAAGACTGTAAGATGTTAGACTTTAGAGGAAAAAAAGTAGTTAACTCCAAGATAAATGTAAGTATTCATAATTTAAGTCCAAGATCATTTTCAACATGAAAAGAGTTGCATCATTTCAGATTAAGCTGGTGGGTCAATTACTAAACAATAATTAATGACTAATATTTCTGTCTTATAACGATAAAGAGATGGGAAAGTAAATTTTAAATCCAGTTCTGTATATCCAAACAACAGAAAAAATATTTGAAGTGGATCTATTGGTCTTTTAAAAATACATAGTAACACTTTAAAATCCCATTACACGAATTCTTGAATTTCCTGTTTTTTTTTGGGTTTTATTCTTGGCACAAAATCTAATATGCCAGTCTTTTAAGAATTGGTTAGATAAAACTTCAGGTGAAGAAAAAGTACGAAATAAACCCGACTCAAAACGATATGTACACCTACAATATCAATAACACAATATGGGATAAAAAAATATTTAATGAAAGCATTGAAATAGAAACAATTACTTCTGTACAAGATATTTAAATACAAAGAATCTACCACCAAACAAGAAAGACTTCCAATTGATGAGTTAGTAATGTAATTCACTAAATAATGCGAACAATCGTCTTTTCAGCAAATATGCAAATTTTTCTACCTCACGTATCAGTTTTCAACTTTTTCACAGCTGACTTCATTTAGCTACATTGTTTA